AATGCTAAGATGCTAGTCTAAGATGCTAAGGTGCTGTCCTCTAAGATGTCATCCTCTAATATGTCATGTCCTAGATGCTAACAAACCAATGTCCTAGATGCTAACACCCAACCCTTCATAAAGACTAGATGTCGTCCTTGTGCTAATGACCAACAAATTTCCACAAAGACTAGCCGACTTATCCATCGTGTAATCGTGTAGCATCCACCTCCTCCGTCAGGTCAGTCATGCTGCTCGACTTTTCAAATCTCCTCCATCGGAGTGAGAGTGGGTTGCGATCCAGTGAGCCCAATAGCTCAACGACGCGCTTAGCGTCGCGGTCCGTCAAGCGTGATCCCGAGTCATCCCGGTGCACCTCGATTCCCAGGTAGAAGGAGAGATGCCCCAGGTCACTCATCTGAAAGGAGGTCTTCATCTCTTCCTTGAATGCCGCCACCTCCGCATCCTTGGTGCCGGTGATCACCAAGTCGTCGACGTAGACACCCACCAGCAGAGCATTTCCTCCACTTCCCCGCCGATAGATGGCCGCCTCGTGCGGGCTTTGCTTGAAGCCCATCCCCTTTAGCGTGGAATCCAACTTGGCATTCCACGCCCTCAGTGCCTGCCGCAAGCCATAGAAGGCCTTGCGTAGGCGGAGCACCTTGCCCTCCTTGCCGGGGATCGCAAATCCCGACGGCTGGTGCACGTAGACTTCCTCCTTCAAGTCGCCGTTAAGGAACGCCGACTGACGTCCATGTGATGAACACGCCAACCCTCTTGGGCGGCTAGCGCAAGGAGTCGCACGGACTCCATCCGCGCACGGAGCAAAGGTATCGTCCGGTCGACCCTCTCTCGCTACACGAAACCTCGTGTCACCAAGCGAGCCTTGTGCTTGACGATGGCGCCGCTTCATCCCTCTTCACCTTTGTACACCCACTTAAGGTCGATCGCGCGGTGACCACGAGGAAGGTCAAGAAGCTCCCAGTGCGGTTCTTCTCAACCGCATCCATCTCCAATTGCATCGCGCGGCGCCATCATGCCAGCGTGTCTCTCGGCCTCGCAAATGACCGAGGCTCGCCGTCGTCACACGCAAGGTGCAATCGCGCCTCCGGTCGTGAGACATCGGTCCAGCACCGCCGGTCGCCGAGAAGGTTCTCCATTGTACGGCATGCAAGAACGGCTCGCCGTGCAGACGCGCTGCGATCGCGCTCCTCGCCGTGAGAGAGAGCGAGTGTGCGAGCTCAATCGGGCCGCGGCTCGACACGAGCCGGTGGTGGTGAAGTAGATGTGCCCAGTGGTGCCTGCGGTGCCGGAGTGCGTGGCGTTGCCGATCGTGGTGGAGCCGACGAAGAACTCATCATAGCCGAGGTCCCGGCCGAGAGCGTGGTGCTGTCGAGTAGCGAAGCGCCGGTTTGGGAGGCTTCGGGGATCGGGGTAGACGCGCTGTCGAAGAAGAGCCGCCTACTCCCCAGCTCCCCTTGAAGTGGACGTATTTCGGCACAGTGAAGTTGTCGTGACGTCGGAGCCGAGCCGTCGCCCACCGCTTTGTCCACGCCCATCTCGCCGCCGCCGTCGAACACAACGTCGCAAGGCTGCAGGCGCATACGCCGTGTCTTCGGTCGAGGATGTGGTAGGCCTTCGAGCCTTCCGCGTGGCCGGCGAACACTCCCGGAGTGCTCCCCGCTGCCGAGCTTGCTTGATGTGGCCAAGCTCCTTGGCGAACGCGAGGCAAATAAGACCCGCAAGTGGGAGACCGCCTCCCCAGAAGATACGATCGGCATCCCTCTCGCTTGAGAAGGGCTCGAGCCATCCCCACAACCGTCTGGTTGCACCGCTCGGACGCCGCTTCTCACCGCGGGTCAGACGGCGCGAGTAGTGGCGCCAATGCCCTCATCAGTAGAGACGACGCGAATTCAGCCGCCATGAATTCGCCGCATTGTTGTCGGTCGCGAAAGACGCGCAACTTGCGGGCCGCGACTCATCCGCAGCAGCGACTCACTGCATACCGATGGCGCCCGCAGCCTCTCCCTTTGCCAGCCGAGGACCATCACCCACATGTAGCGGGAGAGGTCGCCGACGCAGCAAAGCAGGAAGTAGCGCGTGTCCTCCCGGTGTGGCCGGTGTCACCAGCCACACAAGTCCCCTGCGCACAAGCTCGAGCCTCTCCTTGGCTCGAAAGCTCGCCTGCTTAGGGAAAGGGGAGTCGCCGCGCTTCGCCAACACGCAGACGCCGCAGAGCCGCTCCACATGGTCGAGGCACGGCAGGCCTCGCACCATCTCCGTGGCACCGAGCCGCCTGTGGCCTCGAAGTGAAGGTGCCCGGCACTTCGTGCCATCGCCACGCCTCGTCATCCCGACGAGCAATGCGAGACAGAGGAGTTGTGCCACCGCACGCTTGAGGACACAGAGTCGATTTGGCGCTTCGGATACCTTGGCAAGAAGGCGACGACGGCAATCCCAAATCCTCATGACTCCATCCTCAACCACCACGCTGCAACCGTTCTCATCCAAATTGTCCCAAAGTCGATGATGGAGTTCCTCAACGGGGATGTAGTAGACTCCGGTGAGCGTACTGTGCTCACCAGACACCGCAAGTGAAGATGATTTTGAGCCGACGCCCTTGATCTCCACGCCGAGGCATCCCCAAACTTGATGGAGCCTCTGACGCTAGAGTCAAGCTTTGTGAAGAACTCCCGTCGACCGGTCATGTGATGGGTGGCGCCGTGTCGAGGCACCACCCGTCCGGCCTTGTCGTTGCTTGAGCTGCCGCCGAGGAGGGCGTGTGCTTTTTGGCTCGCCAAGGTGGAGGAGAGCCACTGCGGCGCGGTGCCACCGGAGGTAGCTCGATGCTTGCATGTGCCATGAACAGAGCCGGCCTCCTCCTCCGCTTTGCGACGTGGGCTGGCCGCGCTGTCGTGGTCGCCGACAGCCCTGGCCCAATGGCTAAGCCGGCCGCAGCTATGCGGCGGCGCTATCTCGTGTCTTGACTTGCCAGGCTTGCTGCGCGGCGCCGCCACGCCAGGCGCCTCATGGGCATCACCTCGACACGCCCTCACACCCCGGCCTTAGGCGTCTCTGCGCGCTTTGTCGCTTATGACCGCTGTCATCGCGGAAGAAGGCTCCCCTCTTCCGGTCACCTTGGCGAGCATCCCACCGCTCCCGAGTGAGGAGCTTCCGCGCCATGGTGATGGGCCCCGAGAGAGATCAGGGCTCATCATCATTGCCGACGACCTTGAGGCGCCTATCGCCTCCTCGACGACATCGTGGAGAGATCCAGCAGAGACTCGATCGAGCGGGCCATCTCGCTTGTACTTCTCGGGGACGCAGCGGAAGAGCTTTTCGACGCTTCTCTCTCCTCGCCGTAGGTGTCATCGCCGAACCGCACCATCTTCTGCAGCAGAGTGTTGAGACGGAGAGCAAAGTCATCAACATCCTCACCGGCTTGAAAGCCGTGTTCTCCCACTCCTGGGCGCCTACAGCAGTGGACTTGCGGGCGCGGTTGTTGCCGCTGCGCGCGTCAGCAATGGCGGCGCCCCAAGCCTCCTTGGCGATCCGCTTGTTGGTAAGCGAGAATCGCATCTCGGGCATCCAAATACCGCCGTCGATCTAGGTCATAGTCGGCGCCGCCGCACTCTGGATCGCCCCCACATGTGCCGCACTGAGCTTTACCCTAATCACCGTAGCCCACTCGACGAAGTTGGTCTTGGTGAGGGTAGGCCACCACCGCCGGGACGACGCCCCACGACAACGACCGGAGCCCGTGGTAACCACTTGTGCGGATCCGGGGAGAGAGCCACGCCGCCTGTGGAAGGCCGCGCTCTCCATCGACCCGTCGGTACCGATCCGGGAGAGAGCCACACCGCCTGTGAAGGCCGCGCTTCCATCGACCCGTCCCGCCACCGTCGCCGCCAGGGCGCGCCTCCTCTAGGAGCACCACCGCCAGCCGCGCCTCTCCCAGAGCGCCACCAAGGCTCACGTCAGCGCTGTCGGCCGCCGCCACGCCGTGAGCGTGCACGGCGCTTCCATCGCGCCCCGCGCCATGCCGCCTCTCCTCTCTAGAAGCTCGAGGTCCGCGTCGGCGGTGTCGTCGTCGCCGAAATGGAGCTGCCGATCTTCGCCATGAGCAGAGCCTCGACCTCCGCTGCCACAGACGCGCCGCATCCGCCTTGCCTTGCCTTCGCCTCGCTGGCTGCTTTGCCATTTGCGCCATTGCCGCTACTCGACGCTTGCCCAGCCATTCATCGCCTTCTCGCATGCAAGTTCGGTTCGGCCTCTCCGACGCCACAGTGCTCGAGGCGACCGAAGGCCGAGATTGCCTCATGGACATGACGCCACTCGTGGGGCCAGCTGCGGGGAGAGGGCTACTTCGCACGACGTAGGGAGGAGTGGAGGAGCGGAGCGGCCTGCCGCTTCCGCTGCCTAGGCAAATGCTATGAGGGTGGGAAAGATGAGCGAGAGATGCTCAAAGCTACTGAGGATAATACGGCTCGATACTGGGCTTGTTAGTCGCTGAATTCTCACTCTTGGTAGTAGCAGAATTCTTACTCTCATCGAGAGAGGATGACACTAGGAGTTGGAACAATTTTCTGGTTTATTTCTCAATGCCACGCCAACCTGAGGGGTTGGGAATACATATTTATAAGCGGCTAGCCAGCCAAGCATATGTCAAGATGCTAGTCTAAGATGCTGTCCTAGATGCTAGTCCTAGATGCTGTCCTAGATGCTAGTCCTAGATGCTAATATGCTGTCCTAGCCAGTCAAGGATGTTGTCCTTGATGGCAGCAAAACCACAAAGACCACCATGCTGCTGCAGCCCCACAAAGACCACAGAGACTTGTCCATCAGAGAGCCATTCCTATGTTTCATCTTTTTATTTTCAGAGTACATATGTGCTAAAGAAATATGACTCTTTGTGATCCGGATGATGATACACAAATATTTACTACAGTGACTCCTTGCCTTCTTAGTGCTTGCTAGTTTAGACATAATTAAAGAAGCGAGCACAACAGTAGAATAACCACCTCGCAGAAACACTTGAATACATAATCAGCAGCAACAAATTCCTGCGTTATAGAGGTCCGCAAGATTATAGAGAAGATAGCATTCAGTGCAGGTTGAACATGAGGCTCTTCTCCAACATGCTTTCTTGCAAGAGAATCAAGATTCTGAGGATTTCTTAACACCAAATTGCCAATACATCGCAGTGCCTGGAACAAATTTATGGCCAGTGCCAAACAAGGTAGCATCATTCACTGGTTGAAAAGGGGAAAATGTAGGAGCAGACAGTCCTAAGGGAATTACCATACAGCGGAGGGCGACAGGGGCCCACTGACTCTCAACACCCAACAAAAGAAGATGGTCCAGAATGTTTTTCTATCAATAAGGGGAACACATATGAAGCTCAGTTCCATGTCATATGGATGTCAGTGTCGCTTAAAGAGTTTGAAGGGAGGAAAGGATACCTGAGCCAATGCAGTTTGATTTGCGTTCTTGTTAGCATCTTTACCTGCTTCACTGGATGGGCCCCCCATCAAAAGCAATTCCACAGTATTTAAAGCACCGAGGAGATTTACTGTCTAAAGAAGACAGTTTATAGCTTGAGTAAAATGTTGCTAATCCAAACTAAAGACAGATATTCCAAGAATTTATCATCAAGAACAGAAGCTGGACTGATGAACATAATACCTTCTGTTGGGTAAAATTAAATGCACTGCCTCTCCTAATCTTTAGTATTGATATCAATGGGTCAAAGCCCATTGTCTCTTTCAAAAGCATCTGATTGATGGAACAAAGTAAAAAAGTGGCATCAACGAAAAATCTAACAAATTAAAACTTTAAGAAAGGTTTTGGAAGAATGATGAACCTGATTCGAAGCACTATGTCGAATTAAATTATTTAGCAGTTCCAGGCAATCCTGCTCAAATAAGGAACATATTAGCACCAACTAAATTTTATATACCTAAAACCTTAATATGGGAACTGAAAAACAAAAGTTGGCAGCCAATTTCAGATAAAGAACACTAATAAGCAATTTTCCACCTGAACAACTACACCTCCATCAGAATAGCCCTCCTCCCTGATAATGCTAAATATCTTCTCAAACACACCCTCAAATACAACAATTTTTTGAATTTCCTGGAATGAAGAGAATTAAAGTCAATTTAGTTATAAAAAGGAGTGAAAAAACGCCAGTAACATAACAAATCAACATCTAGTATTAGACAGGTTTAACCTCTGCATCCCGAGTCAAATAAGTAAGAAGTAACAGTGCTTCATTCCTTATGACCTGCAAGGTATAACAAAAATAGGCAACTACATGAGTAATAAGATACCATAAGGATTGGTCATGAACTCATGATATATCATTTTGAAAAACTTGGATCAAAATATGAAACAAAAATACTATGTTTACCATTTACAAGAGGACTGCATCTTTGAAAATACTATAATTAGAGTCTATGGTAGAATTAGGTGTTCAGTATATGTGGAATGTCTGAGTAGACATGTATTGAATCGTTCAGAAAAGGATATATAACAACCCAGACTAAATTGATTGTATATTCATTGATTTCGGAAACATTCTAGTCTGAGAACGCAATGTTCATATAAATTAGCATATAAGCTTCCCACAAACATTCGACTGTCCTAACACATACAAGGGCAAACAATAAATAAAAGCATAAAATGATTAGAATGTCATGAGCGGCATGTGTTCTTCCTAAGAGAGTGAGAAAATAGGCAGAGAATGTTGAGACCTCACGATCCATAAGCATGTCCATTAGAACTGTTATACCACGAGGAATCAATAGAATTGCTTCCTGTAACCTGAAAAACAAAATAAAAGGCACTTACATGGGATTCAAATGTAGTCATGGCATCTCAACAGGACACAAAAATGACTTACTGGGCACCTTTTCAGCGAGTTTGTAAGTAGAGCTGTTAGAAGCTGGATTGTGTAGTATCTCACATAAAAGTCTTCCTCTGACTTCAAACCAAACAGGAGCGATAAGCCAGGACTCAGGACACATGAAGCAGGTGATGCAAGTTACATGGTGTTAAGGCAAAAGATGAGTAGTACTCACCAATAAGCTCAAAAGAAGAGAAATATTCTCCGTTTCTCGAGACAGCAGATCAGAGTTCACCGACGCCGGTTGAACCTCAGTCTTTGGCCCTTGTGACGTCTCAATAGGAGTCAATGCGCTCACAAAGGTCTCAAGGGCACCTCTCACAAGCTCTACATCCTCGCGGTCTTCTTTCAAAATATTGAGGAGGATAGGAAAACCTATTTTTGCAAATTAGAAAGGACACAAATGTAAATATGCACCAGTCTCCCCAGAGCAGCTAGAGAACAAATATCAGGACACAGGGAGAAAGGAGATACCCATTGCTCCAAACGACATCTGTGCCGAGCGGCTTTCTGCCACAAGAGACTGCAACTCGGTCATGGCAGACCTCCGGTCATCAGGTATCGTGCCATTGCTTATCCGGTCAAGATATCTCTCGACGTAGCTGCATCCAAGGGGCACAATGGTAGGATTAACTGATATAGGTGATGCACATAAATCAATTGCTACTTTTGCTTGATAAGAGCAGACAGCATTGCAGCGAGTCTGCGAGTGAAGTAAAAACCAAACATGAAATTTGCAACTGAGCCTACCTATCTTCCTTGGACTCGATCCCCTCGTTGCCGAAAACGAATTTCCCCATTCCCTGCCAAAGACACACGCAACACAAACGGGAGGTAAGTAAGCATCAAACCGACTTGACCAACCACTAGCATCTCGAGCTTGAATTCCACTACGACATAATACCCAGAACTCAAAATTGGTGATGCCCATCATGGTAGCAACTCGCCCCCGCGACCGCAGCAGCGGGGGGGCGGTCGTCCCTCGGGCGGGGTTCGGATAAGGAGCGCGAGGGAGTTGGGCGCGCGAACCTGCATGATGTTGCCGGCGCTCCCGGCGATGCCTCGGAAGTTGATCGACCGGTCCATGGATCGCGCCTTCCGCCGCGGTGGCGCCCTGCGAGGATGGGAAGAGCGACGAGGAAGGGGAGGGACGAAGGAACCACTCGGGTGGCGTGTCAACTGCAGCGGTGAAAGGGCGCTCGCGGGAGGGGGAGTCGCCGCCGCCGAGGCGGCGGAGGAGATCGGAGCGGGGTTGGGTCGGGTCGGATGCGGCGGAGGCGAGTCGGGGCAGGCGGCTTGGCTTGGTGGAGACGAGTCGAGTCGGGGGTCACGGAAGGCTGCTTTTTTTTTTTTTAGGAAAAATCACGGAAGGTTGCTGGATTTGCTAAGCGAGATGACGTGGCCGCGGCCCAGGTTCCTGTTTTCTTTTTTATAAAATTGATTGATTGATGTAAATTTTGGAATGGCTCCTCTTTTTTTCCTAATAAGGTAAATGAGATTTATTATATTAAAACTTGGCACATTATATATTCTCAAATTACATATTCTCTTCGTTCTAAATTATAAGATGTTTTGACTTTTTTAGATATACCACTTAGATACATATTATGTCTAGAGATAAAGTAAAACTAATAATATAGAAAAAACAAAACATATTGTATTTTATTTGAAGCTAACAGAGTATATATAATTTGGAACGTCTTATAATAGCGGGACAATTGACAATATCATATCAGTAGGCTCGAAAAGCTATAGCAGTATCTACAACATTGCGTTACCAATCTGAATCAAGTAGCTTATTATTTTTAGTGGGCCTGTCACTATGATATTTTTTAGAGTAAAACCGGGGGTTCTTACCGCCTCATCCTAGCTCCAGGTTTTCAAAGGAGAATAATGAGCTAATTGGTTCCATATTTTTATGTGTAAATAATTGAAAAATATATTCAATACCTTTTTATCAGACATCTGTTTGAACTATGAACCCTTTATTAACATCTACTTTTGGGAGTGTCCCTTATAGGAGGTTTCCTTCTTGCTTAAATCATCAACACACCATGGCCAGCTTCAGTGGCGGATCCAGGATGAGATCAAGGAGGGGGCTAAGTAATGGACATGTTGATTGATAATAAAGATTTAATGATGATTTATGCTTGATGCTACAGTAATTTAACAAGGAATTAAGGCTCACGGGGGGGCTGCAGCCCCCCTGGATCCGCCAATGGCCAGCTTGGCCACTCGGATCAGGAAAGAAGAAAGGCAATAAGGCCCTGTTTAGTTTCCAAAAATTTTCACCCCAAAGTGTCATATCGAATCTTGTGGCACATGCATGGAGTACTAAATGTAGACGAAAAACAAAACTAATTGCACAATTGGGTGAGAAATCACAAGACGAAACTTTCGAACCTAATTAGTCCATAATTAGACAATAATTGCCAAATACAAAAGAAAGTGCTACAGTAGCCAAAACCAAAAAATTTCACCATCTAAACGCGCCCTAAGAAGGGAAGAAGTAGAAAAGAAGGAAAATCACATGGGCAACCTCTTTCTCATCACCTTGGTTAGGGAAAGGTTTCCCAAAGCTCCATTTCTCTAGTTATTGGACAAAGAAGGAAAAGATCAAGGGGCAATCTCCAACAACACCACTCTACATCAACTTGCGACATTTTTTATGCTCAACAAGATATGTGGTAAGCCAATCGTGACCCTAAACCTAACCTAAACTCTAGAAGAACCCATTCAAATTCAAACCTTGGTAGGCTAGCCACGGATGACCTAGAGTTTCACTAGGCTATATTAACCCAATGTACCTTATTAGATGAACTCTAAACCTTCCTAGCAACCTCTAGAAACAAACTCATTAGCAAACCATGGCTTGATCCACCCTCGACTAGTTCACCCAAACATGATCATTATCAGGTTAACTAAATCTCTTATCTGCCATCTAAAAACATGATTCTCGTGTGTATCATTGGTGTTAAACTATAATCACTTCTATACCAAGGTAATTGTCTAAGTAAGTAGATGTCGGTATTGCTTCTACTAGTCATCTCCAAATCGCAGAGGTGGTCATAAAGAGCAAATGGGTGGCTCAATGAGGAAGGACGGGGTAGAGATGGATCTCTAATCGGACTGTATGGCATGTCGGGCTATCGACAATGTGGGTTGCTTATAGCGTGTTTGGTTGGCTGGTTCGTGCCCAGCCAAGCTCGTCGTATGCAACTTTGAGGCATTTGGTTGCTCGCATCGGAGTCCAAAACCTGCTCCCTAGATGCAAAAGGCAAACCAACACCTGACTCCCCATATACGGATTTCATTTGTATTTCTGACGAATTTGACTTTCATGGTGCAGTGTGCGGAGTTTCCTAACATTGATATTACCATGTGATTACTGTGTACTATGTGAATTAGTGTATTTTAAAGCATATTAAGATATTAGAAGTAAAACAGAAACTACTAGAGTGCACTTACACAAGTTAAATACTATAAGACCACTTGTTTTCCTATTTTTATTTTATATGGTATGGTTTTATGTAGGCAACAAACACCATTTCTTCTCGACCAAGCTATATACATGGAGACAACCAAAGAAGAATAGCTTGCACCTCGACAAGCTTGTCCAGCAAGGGCATGCTTCCTAGATGCGAGCCAGGCTCCTCTCACTAGCAAACCAAACATATGTTATAGCATGTGGGCAATGTTGGTCGCTTGGTTGCTGGCTTCTACTGCTTGGTGTCCTAGATGGTTACACTCGTGCTACTACCCAGTTGCGAGTGTAGCAGCAGTTGTGGAGGGTAAGCTTGTTGAACACTCCTCACATATACATAGGTCTCAAGTGAATAGATCCTTTCGAAGTTATAAGGTTGCATAGTAGTACAATAATCTACATCATGTGCTCAATTGGTGAGAATAAAAGGGAGCAACTAAATTTGTGTCAAGCAAATTGATCTTTTTATGTCTCTTAGCCAAGACTATTGGAATATGATCAATAATGGCGTGAAAGATATTGAAATTTATGGATAGTGGGGATTAGAGTTTTTAGGTGGCAGGTCAAGAATATAGAGCCAATGACATATAGAAAAAATTCCTATTGAGAAAAAACAATTCTAGAGTACAAGGGGCATATGCTCATCGAGAAATCTTGATCCCTTTATACCTAGGACCCACATGTCGTTTTCTAAACAAATATCTTTCTTGACATCTATCCCTTCTCTCCCATCTGCGCGACATGGTGATATAGCAACTTGCTCATCTGCGTGGAGCAATGGCGCAGTGGCCTAGCCACCCAAGTGCACGTCACCTTTGAAGGGGCGGTACAACGGCCCACTCATTCGCACGAAGGAGTGGCACGACCTGAGGAGTGGCATGGCAGCCTGCTCACTAGTGCACTAGGCCGGGCGGTGGGGCCTCGACTCCTCTCTCCCGCTTGCCCCGACGGCAGTGGCGGCCTGCAGAAGCGCCTCGACGCGTGTCACACCTAATTTTAAGGATAAAATGGGATGCATAAATCTTATGTGCGTCCAGAGATCAGTCGCACACATAAGCTGACAAATTACAAAGTATCATCACGAGTGTTTATTACATCATGAATAATAATTCATCACAATAGTATCAAGTCTATCATAAAAGCAGAAGAACTAGATAACTACTCTCCACGAGAGCCTCCGAACTCCACAGGGATGTCGACTGGTGAACCATAAGTCTAGTAATCCTTAGGAAAATCCTCATAACCATTGGCATTTGTTACCTCATCCAGGATTTTTATCCAAATAATGAAAAATAGACAAGCATAAGTACATCTCGTACTTAACAAGAATAACATGAGTTATGAAGCTCAAAAGGCCGAACACTGGTTGTACTGCGGTTAGCATTTTTAATAAGTCATAATTTTAACATTACTTTAGCATAAAGTTGTGTTTAAGCCCCAGTTAACCCACATGATCATATTAACCAACATTTCATCTCATAGTGCATCATCAACATATGTATAAATAAATCATCATCATATTTCATCCTCTATTTTATGAGTTTTTCGGGCCGCTCGTGTCCGTGAGCACGGCTGTTATAACAGTTTTAATACTCTGCAGAGTTTGTACATCTGTACCTGAGAGCAGTGATTTACCATTTCACCCAAGGTAGTTAATCTCTTGCTCCAAGGTAGGCGTCATTTCTAGCTCCATAGCATTAGTGATAATGCCTAGGTTCAGATGCTCAAACTCTGCACATAACTCCTTGGGCATTGGTGTCGTTCGAACCTCATTAACATAACTATTTCTGCTAAGAGCATCGACCATGACATTTGCTTTCCTAGGATGATAGTGCACTTCCAAATCATAATCCTTGATCAATTCTAACCAACGACATTGTCTCAAGTTCAGATCTAACTGTGTAAAGATGTACTTTAAGCTCTTATGGTCCGTATAGATGTCACTCTTATGCCCGATTAGATAGTGTATCTAGATCTTCAAAGCATGAACCACTACTGCTAACTCCAAGTCATAAGTGGGATAGTTCAACTCATGCTTCATCAACTGCCTTGATGCATATGCCACAACTCTTCCTTCTTGCATAAGAACACATCCAAGGCCCTGCCAAGATGCATCACAATAAATGGAGAACTTCTTGCTCAAATCCGGCAATGTCAACACCAGGGCTGTGGTTAATCTCTTCTTCAACTCTTCAAAGCTAGCTTGACACTTTTCTGACCACACAAACTTAGCATTCTTCTCCAACAGAGTTGTCATAGGCTTGGCAAGTTTAGAAAACCCTTCAATGAACAGTCTGTAGTACCTAGCCAATCCCAAGAAGCTACGAATCTTACCCACATCAGATGGTGGTTTCCAGTTCAACACATCTTCTACCTTGCTTGGATCTACTGCTATTCCACCATTGGAGACAACATGACCCAGAAAAGAGACTTCTTTTAACTAAAACTCACACTTGCTCCGCTTAGCATACAACTTATGTTCTCTGAGCTTTTGCAAGACCAATCTCAGATGTTCAGCATGTTCATCTTCAGTCTTGGAGAATACCAGTATATCATCAATGAATACCACCATAAACTTATCAAGAAATTATATGAACACCTT